GGGTCCTGGGGCCGCCCGCCCCGCACAGCTCCGAGCGAGCTTGGGGAGGGAGACACACTCTCAGCCCATCTCGCCGCGCCCGACAGCGCTCCGAGTCCGGAGTCCCTTACCCCCATTCTACAGACAGGAAGCTGAGGCCAAAGACCAGACGCTCACTCCTGAGTATTTGCTGCCTGCTGCGTGGACACCACCGACCTACTGTTTACAGAGGTCAGGGACCCGGCCCCCCAGACCCCCAGGACCCCCAGGACCCGCTTCCGGGGGAGGAGGGTGTCCTCAGCAACGGTGACCCGCACCACAGCGCTGCTCACCCGGGTCACTGCCCCAGCCGGTGCGAGGCCCGCAGGGCGCTGGGGATGAGCGACCGACTCCCGGGAACCTGCGCCTCAGGGTAAGGGAGGGCTGCGCACCCAACTCGGCTCTGTGAGGACCCACTGAGGTCGGCATCCGGACTGCGGCCCCGAAGGCAGGGTTTCTGGAGAGGTGGTTCGAGAGCCTGGAGGAAGGATGGGCTGTGCATGTGTGTGCGTGACTCTGTGTGTGTGACTGTGTGTGAGAGTGTGTACGTGGCGTGCGACTGTGTGTGCGCGCGCGTATATGTCTGTGTGTGTACGTCTGTGTGTGCGTGCGTGTATAATTTCTAAGTGGACATCACCTTACACATCACAAGGTTAAAAAATGACCCCTGGGCAGTGCCAGGCCAAGCAGGGAAAGCCCCGCTTGAAAGTGCCTGGAGGACCCAGGCTGTCACTCTCGCCACATTCCGTGGAGTGTGTGGTTGCAACTTCTGTCACTCAAGGCCTGAGGGCGGGGAGACTGGAGCCATATCCAATCAGGGCGCTGGAATGAGAACTGCCCAGTCAGGCACGCAGCCAGAGAGGAGGCGGTGGCTTCCGGGATGTGGCGCGGTCTTTGCGTCTGGCTTCTGCCAGGCCTTGGGTTGGGGGCTTCATCTCTCTGCTTAGTCGGTTCTGGGAGTCCTCAGTGATTTGGCCACAGCCTCAGCCTCCGTTGCTCTGTGACCTGCGGGTATTGGATGATTTGTAGCTAAGACTCCCGGATACCCCTGAAGTGGGGAAATGGTGAGTGTGCGGGGCAGGGCGTCCCAAGGCTGGGGAGGTCTCATCGGAACCGGCGGGAAATGGCGGCGGCGGGACCGAGTCTGCGAACGGAGTCCCCGCTGCTGCCGCTCAGCCCTCCGTCCTCAGTCCCCTCCGGTGAGGGACCCGGGCTCCTGTCG